ATCTATCAGTCATGGCTGTTGATATTGGGAATGGAGAAATTCAATTGATGAAATCTCATGAAGATGTCACGCCTATTTTGATAAAAACTGGAATGAAAGGTAAGACTGATGATAGTGGTGTACTTAACGTTGCCATCATCATTGTCATTATCCTCACGGTCATCATCATTATCATCTCCTTCACCACCACTGTTATAAATAGTTAGGAAATATCTTCACTGTTTTACTTTTTTTTCCCAGATAATGTAATGGAATGGAGCAACTGTGGGTCATTCCTCGCTGTAGGGGGAGTAATGGAATCTAATGGGAATAGCGTGGTTCAGTTCTATAATGTTCATGGTCATATACGATTCTCACTGGATGTCAGCTCACAGGTATTATACCCCTTATTTATTTCTTGTTATCCTTAATTCAATTTAAATTTTTAATTCAATTTATAATTATAAAATAACAATTTTTGGATGGTAAGACTTGGGGGCACCACAAGCTATTGTTGGCCTAATAATGATGATGTTGTTAACATAAAATTCAACTGAAACCTACAAATATAGCTTGCCGAGTCGAATGGCTGAGCAGTTAAGGCAGGGCTGCCACTACCTTCAGTTATTACTGCTGGTTCAAACGGCACCGCTCGCCTTTGGCTCTGGAGGTGAAGCAAGTCTTCTCGGATAATTACTATAAACCTTTAAAAGCTAAGTGTGCAATTCGCTTGTGTGCACTATATAGAACCCAGTACATCTTTTGAGATGAGTAGGGGGTTACACTGGTGTACTGGTCTATACAGCCCCTGCCAGGTGTGGACAGATGGGAGTAGCTGGCACCAGTTTACAGGCAAATCAGACACTTACGCTACGTTACGACTTTGAGATAAGCCAGGCTTGAGTTAAGCCTGGCTCAACGCTAAGCCCAGCTTAAATTTTGGCAGGCATTAAGACTAGCCGGATTAGCCAGGCGCGAGGATTTTCATAATAATAAACCGTAACCAGCAAACATGTTTCAAAACATTGCTCGCGAAACGTACGCTCGATTGAATGCTGATTGGTCATTTTGTTACCCGAAGTCAATGCAAGACCCCCCTCAACGATTAAAGCCCAGCTTAGAAAAGTTAAACACTGTGGCACGCCAGGCCAAGTTACTATAAGAACATAGCCCGGCTTGAGATAAGCCACCTAGTTCAGTGCTAGAGAAGAAAGGGATTTTATTCAGCAACAGAAGCAAAACAAATGGGGAAAAAATAAAAAAACAAAAATATTAATCAGTGTTTTGTATTAACTCAATGTGGATTGTTTTTACACCCTTTTAGAATCCTCTCTCAGCCTTAACCTGGGGTCATGATGATAAACGCATTTTCGTGGCATGTGGTGCTCTTCTCCATGTTGCATGGGTAGAGAAACAGATTGCGCCATTACAGATTTTATGTAGAGAAGCGGTTGTATCAATTATGAAGGAGGAGAAGGCGGTCAACAGCCTGACGTTGCCTGGAAGGCTTAAACATTTCGTTTCTGAGAGATATTTCAGTACAGTAAAGGTTAGTGTATGTTGCGTATATAGGGACTGTCTCTTAGGTTCTCTATGATTTTAACTTACAGAATATAATATATGAATCTAAACTTATAATTTCTACCTGTCATGCTGTCATATTACGAAATACACCAACTTGCGAGTTGTATGTGTTCCTCAGAAATATATAGCCACATCAAGCCCAGTGTAAAAACAGTTGGTGCAATGAATAACTCATGTTAATATATTATGAAATTATAAAACATTGTATAGAGATGAAAAGTGGACCTTTTTGCTAAGCCCCGCCCCTTAGACATTGTTGCTATAGGTCCCACAAAATGCAGTGTTCTGATTGGTTAGTTGTTAATCTTGATTGGCACTCTGGAGAGATCCATTACCTTTGGTGGAAGGGTATTTCTGTCAATATCATTAATATAACTAACTGCTCTATGTGGTTTTAGGGATGTATTCCAGATCCGTGTAAACTTCGTGAATTCATAAGTCGACCACCCCCCAGTAATGAACGTCTGCATTGTACTATGGTTAAAACCGGAGAGGAGACGAGCAACTCAAATCCCTGTTACACACTCTTCTTGGAATACCTTGGCGGCTTGGTGCCTCTTCTAAAAGGGAGAAGAATCAGCAAACTTTGTACTGAATTTGTTATTTATGATCCGAAAGTTAACAATGAGATGAAGATTTGTAAGTTTTATGCACAGTA